AATGCTGCTCTCCTCCCGGCTCGGCCCTGGGAGAGGGCCGCTTCGGGGGCGAAGGACTGCACGGCGCTCTGCAGGAACGCGCCTTCTCGCCCTCCGTCCTCCTCTCCTCTTGTTTCGTCTCAGTGCCGGGCTCGGCCCATTTGTAGATACTGTCGTGTCACCCTCTTTTGCCAATGCACCTCTGACGTGCACGGCTTCTCTCTCTCTCTCTCTCTCTCCCTTGGTGACGTCCGGGAGATGGCTGTTCCCCCTCCGCGTACTGGTTTCTTACACAGGATTCCTGGGTAACAGTTTTTTTTTTTTTTTTTGTTTTTTGTTTTTTTTTGTCAAGATGCCGCTCTCGCTGAGGCACTGGCTTCATTTTCGGGCTACCTCTCGTTCCGAATCATGTTCCCGCTGCAGCGTTGGCCTCATTTCCGCGCTTCCGCTCGTTCCGAATCGTGCTCCCGCTGCAGCGCTGGCGTCATTATTTCCAGCGCCATGCCACGGCATGGTTTCGGTCCTTCCAAATCGGGCCCCAAATCTAGAAAATGGCCTCCCGAAGAAACCATCGGAAGGGATTACACATTCGGTGTCGATTCGTTGAATTTTTGAGTCGCAGAAGCCCCCCACACTTTGGGACGTCGCCACGTAATGCTATGTCATGCTACGAGTTGATCTTCAACACCATGCCATGCCATGTAAGGCTGTGCCATGCTACGACATCCGATTGTGCGAATAGAGAAGAGATCCACGCCATGGTAAGGGATGGGAGGGAGGGGTAGAACGCCAGATATGAAGCGAGCGCGCCTAGCTTGCCTTACCCCCTCCCCCTCCTTCCTCGGAGGGAGGGGGGGGGAGGGGAGAGGAGGAGGGGGACGACCAGGAGGAAGAAGATGAGGGAGGAGGATGGGGAGGAGGAGGATGTGGTGAATGAGCAGGCAGATGAACGGGAGGAGGAGGAGGAGGAGGCGGAGGAGGAGGGAGGAGGAGGAGGAGGATGATGAGGGGAGGAGGAGGAGGCGGAGGACGAAGAGGAGAGGAGGAGGAGGAGGAGGAGGACGGAGGAGGAGGAGGGGGAGGAGGAGGTGGATGAGGATGAGGAGGAGGAGGAGGAGGAGGAGAAGGAGAAGGAGGAGGAGGAGGAGGGGGATGATGATGATACTGAGGATGAGGATGAGGAGGAGGAGGAGGAGGAGCAGGAGGAGGAGGAGGATGAGGAGCATGCAGGAGAATGACCAGGAGGAGCAGGATGAGGAGGATCAGCCACAGCAGGACGAGTGACTACGAGAGGTGTGGACGACAGGGGACGAGCTTCTACGAGTGGCGACGACGAATGACGACGACCACGAACGACGGCTAGCAGAGGAGTCAGAAGGATGAGAGACGACTGTGAGTAACGGCGGAGACCGATGACGAGGAGTGATGAGCATCAGAAGTAACGACGACGATGCCAGCGAAGACGTCGACGACGACGACAAGGCACGAACGTCGACGACGGCGGGTAAAGATGACGACTTCGACCACGACGATGTCGACGACGAGAAGTGGTGACAAGCGACGCCCAGTGCGATGACGTGGGTTGACGACGACGACTAGCGACGACGACAAATGACAACGACGAGTCATGGAGGACGACGAACGACGATAACATCGACGTCGGCGAGTCACGACGACGACGACGTCCACAACGACGAGTAGCCACAATGATGACGGCGACGAGTGACAACGAAAAGTGACGACGACGAGACGAGCGACGATGACGACGATGACGACCGTTTCGACGAGCTCGGAGACAACGAGCACGACGACGCGATAATTCAATCAACGCAGCACATGCAAGCAGTGGACCCGTAGAATCAGATCCTAGCAAATCCGAGCATATGTAAGCCACTGCAAATCCATTCAAATGAAGACACACGCGATAATCAGATAGGTGCGCCTGAGAGGCGCCATCAAAATTGGGGCAGATCCAGGCAATTCCAAGCAAGCCTCAGGGTTTGCGTATGAATCCCAACACATACATGTAAAGCAAAATGCACGTACATACAAGCAGTGGCCCCGTGGCGCCTTTCCGCCACTACCCTGGCGACCCCCTTAGGGAACACTCAAAAGCGTGGGAGGGCAACACGCAAAGTGTGCGAAGGAACACCCCCAGAGGGAAACACAAAAAAGGGAGGTGGACACAGAAAGGGTTCCCCTCCCGTCCCGCCCCCATCCATCCCCACCATTCTCTTTCCTTCTCCTTGTCATCCTCGTCTTCGTCGTCTTGATCCTCTTCAGCGTCCTCCTCAATTTTGTCTTTCACCTCCTTCTTCCCATCCGCCCTTCTTCGTCTGCCTCGTCGTCCTGGCTTTTATCATCATCTTCGTCCTCTTTCCTCTCCTCCTTTTCCCCTCTCCGTTCTTGTCCTCCCTCTTCTCCCCCTCCTCGGCCTCCCTTTTCTCTCCTCGTCGTTCTCGTCTTCTTCGTTGTCGTTGTCGTCGTTCCCCTGTTTCTCCTTGTCCCCCTTTCCTGTCTGGTTGTCCCCTCTGTCGCCTCCCCTTCTCGATCCTCCCCTTCCCCTTTCTCGTCCCTCTTGTCGTCTGGGTCGCCCCCTCTCCTCCTCTTCGTCGTCTCCGTCGCCTTCGTCCTCGTCTTCGATTTCGTCGTCGTCCTCGTCGTCACCCTCGCTCCCGACGTCGCCATCCTCGCCCTCGTCCTCGCCCCCGCCGTCGTCGTCGCCGCCGCCGTCCCTGTGGCCCAGGGTCTTCGTCCTTCTCCCTCTCAGTCTGCTTCCGCGGAGTGCTCTGGGCCGAGGCCGTCGCGCGCTCGTGGCTTCCCATGCCAGGCGGGACCGCCGCCCGGCGACGACGACGCCCGCCCAGCCTTAAGTCGGGCCTGTTTTTTTAAAGGGGAATGCTCAAAAATAGTCAAACAATCGTCCCCAGTCCAGAAATAACCGCATGCCGATGATAATAAAGGGACCCCCCCCCTTCAGTGTTTAGAGTTGATTATCGTCGCCCTATACAAAATTCAAATTGGGCGGCGAGCGCTGAGGCCGAACTTCATTATCACCTCGAAACGCTATGTTGAGATAGCAACATCAAGCGATGTTGATATAGCAACATCAAGCGAAGCGATCACACTTTTTCAGGATGTGTCAAGCGAAACCAATAATTTTGGGAGGCAGTTCTTCTTCTCTTCTTCTTCTTCTTCTTCTTCTCTTCTTCTTCTCTTCTTATAATTCTTCTACTTTCCTCTTCTTATTTTATATTTCTATCTGTCCTCACGCTCGCCTGAACTTTTTTATCCCTGGGGTTGATTATCCATGGAAAATGAAGCACATGAGATACCTACCCTACACGAGCACTTAAACAAATCAATTTTCATAAAGCGTTTGTAAATTAAAATTGATAGATTTGGAACTTTGGATTTTTCCTTTCTTCGTCCTCTTCTTATTCTCCTCTTCTTCTTCTTTTGTCGAGGATGTCTCCAGCGAGATAAGCCATTGTTGAGGATATTTCTAGGAAAACTAAACGCCGAGGATGTCTCAAAACGTGCTCGGCTTGGTCTCCTCTTGATCATCTCTTACTTCGAGATTATGCTGAGGTCTGCTGGGCTACTTTTATTATCTCTCCCTGAACCCCGAACTTTATTATCCCCTAGTGTTTATTCTCACGGGCACGAGGTTAGTCTGCGGACGACTTTTTGAAAATTTCCGAATATTTTTTGACTATTCTGTATGTTTCGTCCAAAATCTCCCTGTAGGGGGGCAGGCCTGACCTAAGCCCAGCCCGGACCCACCCCGGGAGGACTTCACCTTCGTCCTGCAGCACCCGGCGCGCCCGGCGCGGGAGGCGCGGCCGCGTTCCCCGCGCCCGCTTTCCTCCCCCCCCCGCCGCCGCCTCCGCCGCCTCGAGGATCGACGACCGAGGAGGACTGAGGATCGGTGGTCACAGGGTTTTTCGGCGGCGGGCCCGAGGGCGAAGCGAGGAGGAGTAGGTCTTCTCAGAAGGCTCGGACGTCCCCCGGCCGTCAGAGATGCTTTCTGAGCCGTCCCCGAAGAGACGCAAAACATCTCTCAGAGCGCGCCCCGAAGGCCTCCTCCTCCTCCTCACTTCCCCGCCTCGCTCGCCGCTGGCTTTTGTCCCCTGCCCTTTCGGCGTCTCGGGCGGGCTCTTCGTTGCCGTGGCCGGATGCGCCTCCGGGTTCGGGCCACAGTGCGCCCTGGGACGGGTCAGTGTGTCGAGTTTGGATCTGGCTTCGCCGACGTCGTCGTCGAACAGTCGTTTCTAGACAGGCAGTTTTCAAATGGCTTGCGCCATTCTGCCGACCCCCAGGAGTAAGACTTGCGGCGATCGTGGGAGTCAGGAGCCTCTTGGATGCATATGAGGGTCTCTTGGAAGCTTCTCGGGGGCATGCATCTGGGGGGCTTTTGGGGTTTCTTGGATGCCCCTGGGGGGCCTCTTCGATGGGCTCTTGGGGGCCCCTTTTGGAGCCTCTTGGGGGCCTCTTGGGGGCCTCGTGGAGGGCTCCTGGGGCCTTAGAGGGGGCGCCTCGGGAGCCTCTCGAGGCAGGTCATCTTGGGGGGAAGGGCTCGCAATGTCAGTTCGTCTTTCGCTTCTTGGGCCTCTCTCGGGGCGCGCTCTTGGCTCGTTTTAGGAGCCCCTGGGGCCGTCGTGGGCGTCTGTGGGGTCTGTCTTGGGCCGTCTTGGGAGCCTCTGGGGTCTTGGGCCGTGTTTGGGCAAACTTGGGACGAAGTTGGGAGCCCTTGCGCCGTCTTGGACGCTTTGAAGATGCACAAGGCGAGTATGCCGAATATGTTCTTGTTCCAACTGGAATGGGACGATTTTCGCTTGTTGGGGCCCTCTCGGCGATCCTTTGGGAGCAGTCTTGGTATGTTTTGGGCGCGTCGTGGGCCGTCTCGAAGCCAGCTTGGATCGCCGTGGGGTCGACGCTTCCTTGGACAGTCTTGGCGCTTCGTTTGGGTCGTCTTTGGCCGTCTGGATACGTCTTGGGGCTGTGGAGATGCTCCGGGGCCCCCGGGGGATGCGTTTTCGGAGCTCGTACCCCCACGAGCCCCCCCGCTCGTACCTCCACGGGCCCCCACCCCTCAAAACGCCATTTTGGACCCCAGGGGAGGAGGAACGGAGGAGGGTGACAGCCAATCACCTCACACGCCTCCTCACCCCGGCAAGCGGGGTCGGCGGCTCGTTGACCTGTTGAAGCGGTTCTGGGCGCTTTCGCCTCGACGCTGGCTGCATTTTCTATGAGCGCGAGGTTCCTGCTCGAGTGCGGGTTTGATTCCCAGTCCAACTACAACGACAAGGGCTCCCGCTCAATATTTCCTCACGATTTACTCCGACACGCCCTGGCCAGAGAGGCGCCCAAGCTCAAAGCTCAGGAACGGCGCTCTCGCTCGATACTTAGCACGTCTTTGCATTGCAGTCATGTTGGTGGCGGCCCAACTGCGACGATAACGGCATCCGTTCGATATTCCCTTGTGATTTAGTCCGAAGCGCCTTGGTCAGAAGACGCCCCCGCTCTCAGGAATGGCGCATAAGACTTTCTCGCAATCCACTTGGGTTGATGAGGGCCCAATTGCGACGACAGCGGCTGCCGCTCGATACTTCCCGTTCCTTTCCGCCCCGCGACCTATTCAGATGCGCCTGCTCCGCGGCGCGTTGGCCAGAGACGCCCCGCTTTCAGGAATGGCGCTCTCGTCCAAGCCTTCCCCGCAGTTCACTCAAGTGGGGAACGGCCCACCTACGACGACAACGGCTCCCGTTCGATATGTCCTCATGATTTGCTCCGAGGCGAGTTGGCCAGAGATGCCCCCGATTTCAGGAACGACGGCGCTCTCGCCTGAGAATTCCTCGCAATCCACTTGGGTTGGTGAAGGCCCAGCTGCGACAACGACGGTTCTCGCTCGATACCTTCTTCTAACTTCCTCGCGTGCGCCTTGGCCCAATGCATTCTCGCATTCAGAAGCGGCGCTCTCGCCCAAGACATCCGCGCAAATCATGCAAGGGGATGAAGGCCCAGCTGCGACGACAGCGGTTCCCGCTCGATACTTCGTCACAGTTGACTCTGCGACGCTCTGGAGGCGTCCAAACTCAGGAGCGGCGCTCTCCCCCGAGACTCCCTCGCAATTCGCTCAAGCTCATGAGCTGCCCGCGGGCGCGATAGCTCGCGTGACGGTCATGGCGGCGTGCTGCGCGCGCAGACTGCGCTGCTGAATGTTCCTTTCAGGAGCTGGTATGAAAAGATGCCCCCCTAAGAAGAGGGTTGATTCGGGGACTAAGTGGGCGGGTGCGAGGGAGAGGAAGAAACACATGGAGTCAAATGATTTCGCTAGATATACATGCTTGCAATCTTGCCGTCGTCGTTTTACGTGCTTGCAAGATTGCTGTCCTCGTCGTCGTCGTCGCCGCCGCCCGCGTCGCCGTCGGGGGGTAATTTCAGGGTGCCGCGGGGCCTTTTGGTTCATTTCCCTAGTGTATCTACTCCCGTGCCACGTCTTTTCTGGTCTTTCAAGGGCGCTCCTCGTCGCCACGGCTGGACGCGACTCGGCAGACGGGTCCCAGCGTGCGTGCCAGGGGGGGGGATTGGGGAGTGGGAGCAGGCTTAGGGATGGGGGGGGGAGGGGGGACGGGGGAGGAGGGAGGAGTATGAGCAGGACTCAAGTCAGCCACGTCGAACGAATCCTGTCCGCCATCTCCCCCTCTTTCACGCCACATACGAATCAGTTGTGGCACAACTTGGTATTTGGGATTGGAGCGTGTCCACACCTAGCGAACGGAAGACGCTCGCGCGCTGTCCCGCTTCCGACGACTTGGCTGGGTGGCGCGGGACTCCTTCCGCATCGTCGCTGGGCCGCCCTGGGGCGCAGGTGATCTCGTCCCAGGGTGTCGTGAGCGAGGCCTGGATCGCAGAGCGTGGGGAACGGAGCGGCATCTCGATCGCCGCTGCGTCCTTGAAATCCGAGCAGCTGGCGCGGTGCTGATAGAAGGCGCTGGCGTCAAGTCTAAGACGGCGTAGACGGTCCTGATGGGCCCTTGCGCGCTGCGCACGTGGCGGCGGGCTCCCGTGCGGCGGCGGCGGCGGCGGCGGCGGCAGACGACGAAGTGAAGTCTCCGCATGAAGCCGATCCCCAGGAAGATGTCGTGCAGACACTGCGCGACTTGCGCGTGGAGCTTTTGCCCGAAGTGCGAGGACGACATCGGAGAGTGGCCTCGTGGTCCGACACTGGCTCACGCTGACGCCATGAGGTGGACACAGGAGGCCCGTCGGGTGAACGTGAGAAACCTGTACCAGCGCGGGGGGCCTGGGGTGCGCCCGTGTCGTTGGGTGCAGCACGGCCCCTCGAGCATGCCAAAGGTTCCAAAAGGTGCCTCCCTCCTCCTCCTCCTCCTCCTCCTTCTCCTCCTCCTCCTCCTGCTCCTGCTCCTGCTCCTGCTTCTGCTGCTGCTGCTCCTCCTCCTCCTCCTCCTATTCTTCCTCCTCTTCCTCCTCCTCCTCCTCCTCCTCCTCGTCCTCGTCCTCCTCCTCCTCCTCCTCCTCCTCCTCCTCCTCCTCCCCGATGTCCTCCTCCTCCTCCTCGTCCTCCTCCTGCTGCTCCTCCTCCACCCCCCTCCTCCTCCTCCTCCTCCTCCTCCTCCTCCTCCTCCTCCTCCTCCTCCTCCTCGTCTCCTCCTCCTCCTCCTCCTCCTCCTCCTCCTCCTCTCCTCCTCCTCCTCCTCCTCCTCCTCCTCCCCTCTCCCTCCCCTCCCCCTCCCCCTCCCCCTCCCCCTCCTCCTCCTCCTCCTCCCCTCCTCCTCCTCCTCCTCCTCCTCCTCCTCTCTCTCCTCCTCCTCCTCCTCCTCTCCTCCTCCTCGTCGTCCTCTTCCTCTTCCTCTTCCTCCTCCTCCTCCTCCTCCTGCTCCTCCTCTTTCTCCTCCTCCTCCTCCTCCTCCTCCTCCTCCTCCTCCTCCTCCTCCTCCCTCCTCCTCCTCCTCCTCCTCCTCCTCCCCCTCCCCCTCCCCCTTCCCCTCCCTTCTCCTGCTGCCCGTTTCCCTCGACGCCTCCACCGCCGTTCCTCCCCCCCAAGGTCTCCTGGTCCTCGGGCCCGGTGCGCTTCCTGGAGCTGCCCTCAGGCGCGCCCGCCGCGCCGCCCCTGTGCCTGCCGCGCGCCGGGCGTCGGAGGACCACCGCCTTCGTGGCCCTCCCCCCTCGACCCTTCCTCGATCCCCTCTCCCTCCCTCCCCCCTCCCCCCTCCTCGATCCCCCCTCTTCGGCCCCTCCTCGATGCCCCCCCACTCCTCGATCCCCCTTCCCCGGCTCCCTCCCCCCATCTCGCCCCTCCCTCCTCCCTCTCCCACCTCGTCCCCTCATCCCCTGCTCCCTCTTCCCTGCTGCCTCTCCCTCCCCTGCTGTCCGCTCGCAGGGCGAGCGCGGCACGTGAAGCCGACGCACCGAATGACGGGCGAGCGGGAAGGGACGGGGCTCTGCACGTCTGGAGGGGGGATTGGCTTAAGTTGGACATGTCCCTCTACAGGAAGAATGTACACTCATAGTAAAGAACTCATGCCGGAGAACATGCCCAATCATTTTTTTTGAGCTATAGGGCTATGGGGCTATTATAGGGCTATCGGACTATTGGGCTGTAAGGCTATGGAGCTACAGGGCTACTAGGGCTATAGGGTTACAGGGCTATAGCGCTATAGGGCTATAGGGCTATTATAAGGCTATAACGCTATAGGGCTCTAGGGCTAGGCCTATTGGGGCTATAGGGTTATGGGGCTATGGGGCTATTTGACTATATGGCTATAGGTCTATACTATAGGGCTATGAGGCTATACTATAGGGCTATAGGGCTGTAAGGCTATAGGGCTATATGGCTATAGGGTTATAGGGCTATAGGTCTAGATTGCTAAAAGCGGCCGCCCACCTCACGTAGCCATATGAATCCGCTAGGACCCCTACAGAGGCAAGCTCTGATTGCGGAGTCGTGAGTGGACGATTTCATGTGATCTTGTTTTTGCGCTTTTGAGATCGTTTCTGGACATTCCTGGCGAGCGAGCGACGGTCCGAGGCCGCCGCGGAGCGCGCCACCCCGCTCACTGCAGGGCTTCTTGGGGGCTTTCGAGGGGGGGGGCGTCTCGAGGGGGGGCCTCTCGAGGGGGCGTCCGGGGGGCGTCTCGAGGGGGGGGCCTCTCGAGGGGGCCTCTCAGGCTTCTCGGGGGCCTCTCGGGGGCTTCAGGGGGGTCCTCTTAAGGCTTCGTGGGGGGCCTCTTCAGGGAGTGGCCTTCGAGGGGGGCCTCTGGGGCTTCTCGGGGGCCTCTTGGGGGCCTCTTGGGGGCTTCTCGGGGGCACGCGCGTCGTAGGGGGCCACCTTGTGGGGGGGGGGTCTCCCGGGTGCCTGCCAGTTCCCCCTCTGGGGCTTCTCTTGGGCCCCCCTTGGGGCCTTCGTGAAGGCACTGTTGGTCGTCTTGGGGGCCTCTTGGGACGTCTCAGGGACCGTCTCCAGGCCCTGTTGGGGGCCTCTTGGGCCGTCTTGGTCTGGTCTGGGGTCCTCTCGCGCCGTCTTGGACTTTGAGAAGTCCGAAATGGCAAGAACACTGAACTTAATTTAAACACACACACACACACACACACACGCACGGGGCATCAATTACTTCTGCCTCCTGACGCCTTTCGCGGGTCCTCTTGGGGCGTCTTGAGGGCGTCTTGAGGCCATCTGGTTTGGCCATCTTAGTTGTTGGAGCCCTTCTGGAGCCATCTCAGAAGGCATTCTGGGCCTTTCTGTCCGCGAAGGGGGATGGATTTGGAGACTCCGAGGGCCCTGGAGCTGCGTTTAGTTTAGGAGCTCGCGCCCTCCCCTTCGGGGGGCTACCTTGAATTGAAATCTGCACCCCAGGGAGGGGGGAGAGGTGGAGGGGGACAGCCCAGCGTCTTGCACGCCTTCCCACCTGGCGGCAAGCGATGGCGGGCGGCTTTACCTCCTGCGCGCGCGCCCGCACGGGCCCCGGGCCGCCCGCGCGGCCCCTTGAGGGCCTGCTGGCCTCCGGCTGGCAGACGCGCGCGTCCTGCGCATCTCGCCCTCTGCGGCCCGTCGGGTGGCGAGCTGGCCGACCGTGGCCTTCCTGCCCGCCGCGACGACGCGCGGCGATGCCCAGGCAGCGGCCGCACGGACTGGGGCTGCCACGAGCTCATCCCCATCGAGGCCGCGCCGTGGCCGCGTGCGGCGCGGGGTCGGCGGCTGAGGGAACTGGGGGAGGGATGGAGGACATCGGGGAGGAGGAGGAGGAGGAGGAGGAGGAGGAGGAGGAGGAGGAGGAGGAGGAGGAGGAGGAGGAAGAGGAGGAGGAGGAGGCGGAGGAGGAGGAGGAGGAGGAGGAGGAGGAGGAGGAGGAGGAGGCGGCAGCGGCGCTCTTCAGGGTTTCGGTGACGGGTCAAACCAAGGAAAATGGTGGGGAAGTCCCCTCAAACCAGTCTGCTCGGCACCACAGCAGACGTGTGGCACGAACGGCAGGCCCTCTCGGGCGGTGCCCGTGCACGGCCCTCGGCGACGGGCACCTGGCTCTCGGTCCACCAGCAAGCAGCAACGACGCGGGAGAACCAAGAGAGAGCAGGCGCCGTACCAGGCCAGGAGAGGCGACAGGGCCAGGCACACCGCCACAGCGGCGTGCACGGCCCCTTCACCAGCACCCAGCAGGGGACAGCCCCAGGGGGGGAGAGAGGCCAACCGGCCCAAAAGGAGCGCGAGGGAGAGAGGCAGGAGGGACCACAACATGCAAGAGTACCTCGCGCACGAGCGCGCGAGGCCCACAGAGACGTCCATTCGGCGGCACGGCGTCAGCCACAAACAAACCAAGGTCCGAGCCCCTCGGCACGACCGCGAGCCCCACGAGGCCCGAAATTCCCAGCGGTGCAGCTGGCACCCTGCACAGCTCCAAACGGCCTCAGGACTCACGATGCCTCCAAGACCTTCTGACCCTCAAGCTCCAGGTGCCCAGGGGGGCGCGGTCCCGAGAAAGCTTTCCTCTTGATGAATTCCTCCACCACTGTGACAGAGGGACCGCTCCCACTTCCCCTCTCTCGTGGCGACGATGAGGCGCCTCTTCTTGGAATCGAGCACCTTTTCCATACGAAACAGCCCAATCATATGCTGGGCCTCGCAGCTCCCAGGCTTATACACATTCGGGTACCTCTACGCGTCTGCCCTGAGCGGCTCGGGAGTACCAAATTCTTCACGCTTCGCGTATCCCCACCAGCCCATCTCAAAACAGCAACTCTAGCGAAGCATGCCGACAGTCGTGTTTTTCAGGCGCGTTTCCGCCTGCCCCCGCATATCTCCCCTGTTCCTCCTTCCTCCCGCCTCCTTGTACATCCTCCTTGTGGTGGGAGCGGGAGAAGGACGAGGCGGAGGAGGAGGGAGAGAAAGCGCTCCTCGTGGTTTGAGTCGTTTGGGGTTTCTCGTCCTGGTGTGAGTCGTTCGGGCCCTTCTTCCTGGTGTGAGTCGTTCGGGCTCTTCGTGGTGTGAGTCGTTCGGGCTCTTCGTCCTGGTGTGAGTCGTTCGGGCTTCTCGTGGTGTGAGTTGTTCGGGCCCCTCGTCCTGGTGTGAGTCGTTCGGGCCCCTCCTCCTGCCCGTCCAGAAACGACGCCCAGGCGAGTAGAGGGTCGTCCTGATGGGCTTTTCGGCGTCTTGGGTGCCTCGGGGGGGCCTCTTTGGGCCGTTTGGGATCCTCTTGGGGGCCTCCTGGGGGCCTCTTGGGGCCATCTTGGGGCCTCTTGGTGCCTCCTGGGCGCTTCTTGGGGCCATCTTGGAGGAAATCGATCAAAGAAGAGGGGAGCTTTAAGGCAGAGGACCGGTTCGTCAGAGGATCTGTTCACCAAAGACCGGTTCGCCAGAGGATCTGTTCGCCAGAGGACCGGTTCGCCAGAGGACCGGTTCGCCAAGGACCGGTTCGCCAGAGACCGGTTCGACAGACCCGGTTCGACAGACCCGGTTCGACAGACCCGGTTCGACAGACCCGGTTCGACAGACCCGGTTCGACAGACCCGGTTCGACAGACCCGGTTCGACAGACCCGGTTTGCCGGATGCGGTGTGCCAGACCCGGCTCGACAGATCCGGCTCGACAGACCCGCGCCGGGAAGGAGGATGGACAGGAGGAGGAGGAGGAGGAGAAAGAGGAGTAGAAGGATGAGTGGGCGCGGAGGTGGGGTTTGCCAGACCCGGTTTGCCGGATGCGGTGTGCCAGACCCGGCTCGACAGACCCGGCTCGACAGACCTGCGCCGGGAAGGAGGATGGACAGGAGGAGGAGGAGGAGGAGAAGGAGGAGGAGGAGGAAAAAAAGAAGGATGAGTGGGAGTGGAGGTGGGGAACGCCTGCCCGTTAAGGTCCCCCCGCCCCACCCGCCCGTTAGGGTCCGCCCGCCCCACTGGCTTGTTGGCATCTGCCCGCCCGACTGTTCCGTTACGGTCGTCGTCGCAGACGTCGCTCTAGTCATCGTTGTCGTCGTGGTCGTCGTCGTTGCCGACCTCGTCGACGTCGTGGTCGTCTTTGTCGCCCGACCGGACCCGCCCGTTAGGGTCCGCCCGCACGCCCGACCCGCCCGTTAGGGTACACGCGTGCCAACTCGATGATGCATCATACTTTAATGTCCCGCCCGCCCGACCCGACCCGCCCGTTAGGGTACACGCGTGCCAACTCGATGATGCATCATACTTTAATGTCCCGCCCGCCCGACCCGACCCGCTCGTTAGGGTCCGCCCGACCCGACCCGACCCGCCCGTTAGGGTCCGCCCGACCCGACCCGACCCGCCCGTTAGGGTTCACGCGTGCCAAGTGTACACGCACCATACTTTATGTCCCGCCCGCCCGACCCGACCCGCCCGACCCGACCCGCCCGTTAGGTCCCGACCCGCCCGCCCGACCCGTGTCAAGTGTACCGCACCATACTTTAATGTCCCGCCCGCCCGACCCGACCCGCCCGTTAGGGTCCGCCCGACCCGACCCGACCCGCCCGTTAGGGTCCGCCCGCCCGACCCGACCCGACCCGCCCGTTAGGGTTCACGCGTGTCAAGTGTACACGCACCATACTTTAATGTCCCGCCCGCCCGACCCGACCCGCCCGTTAGGGTCCGCCCGACCCGACCCGACCCGCCCGTTAGGGTCCGCCCGCCCGACCCGACCCGACCCGCCCGTTAGGGTTCACGCGTGTCAAGTGCACACGCGCCATACTTTAATGTCCCGCCCGCCGACCCGACCCGCGTTAGAGTCCCGCCCGACCCGACCCGACCCGCCCGTTAGGGTTCACGCGTGTCATGTGTTTACACGCTCCTACTCGAATGTCACGCCCGCCCGGACCAGACCCGCCCCTTTGGGTCCGCCCGACCTGGCCCGACCCGCCCGTTAGGGTCCGCCCGCCCGACCCGACCCGACCCGCCCGTTTGGGTTCACGCGTGGCAAGTGTACACGCACCATGCCCCGCCCGCCCGACCCGACCCGCCCGTTAGGGTCCGCCCGACCCGACCCGACCCGCTTGTTAGGGTCCGCCCGCCCGACCCGACCCGACCCGCCCGTTAGGGTTCACGCGTGTCAAGTGTACACGCACCATACTTTAATGTCCCGCCCGCCCGTCCCGACCCGCCCGTTAGGGTCTGCCCGACCCGACCCGACCCGCCCGTTAGGGTCCGCCCGCCCGACCCGACCCGACCCGCCCGTTAGGGTTCACGCGTGTCAAGTGTACACGCACTATACTTTAATGTCCCGCCCGCCCGACCCGACCCGCCCGTTAGGGTCCGCCCGACCCGACCCGACCCGCCCGTTAGGGTCCGCCCGCCCAACACGACCCGAACCGACCCGCCGTTAGGGTTCACGCGGTGTCAAGGCACAAGCACCAATTCTTTAATTTTCCCGTCATGCCCGGCCCGACCCGACCATTAGGGTCCGCCCGACCGACCCACCCGCCCGTTAGGGCCCCGCCCGCCTGAACCGTCCCGCCCCGCCCGTTAGGGTTCACGCGTGTCAAGTGCACACGCACCATACTTTAATGTCCCGCCCGCCCGACCCGACCCGCCCGTTAGGGTCCGCCCGCCCGACCCGACCCGCCCGTTAGGGTTCACGCGTGTCGTGTGTACAGCCCATACTCGAATGTCCCGCCCGCCCGACCCGACCCGCCCCGTTAGGGTCCGCCCGACGACCCGACCCGACCCGCCCGTTAGGGTCCGCCCGCCCGACCCGACCCGCCCGTTAGGGTTCACGCGTGTCAAGCGTACACGCACCATACTTGAATGTCCCGCCCGCCCGGCCCGACCCGCCCGTTAGGGCCCGCCCGCCCCGACCCGACCCGCCCGTTAGGGTTCACGCGTGTCAAGTGCACACGCACCATGTCCCGCCCGCCCGACCCGACCCGCCCGCTAGGGTCCGCCCGACCCGACCCGACCCGCCCGTTAGGGTCCGCCCGCCCGACCCGACCCGACCCGCCCGTTAGGGTTCACGCGTGTCAAGTGTACACGCACCATATTTTAATGCCCCGCCCGCCCGACCCGACCCGACCGCTAGGGCCCGCCCGGCCCGACCCGACCCGCCCGTTAGGGCCCGCCCGCCCGACCCGACCCGACCCGCCCGTTAGGGTTCACGCGTGTCAAGCGTACACGAACCATGCTTTAATGTCCCGCCCGCCCGTCCCGACCCGCCCGTTAGGGTCCGCCCGACCCGACCCGACCCGCCTGTTAGGGTCCGCCCGCCCGACCCGACCCGACCCGCCCGCTAGGGTTCACGCGTGTCAAGTGCACACGCACCATACTTTAATGTCCCGCCCGCCCGCCCGCCCGACCCGACCCGACCCGACCCGCCCGTTAGGGTCCGCCCGCCCGACCCGACCCGACCCGCCCGTTAGGGTTCACGCGCGTCAAGTGTACACGCACCATTTAACGACCCGACCGCCCCCGCCCGCCCGACCCGACCCGACCCGCCCGTTCACGCGTGTCAAGTGTCGCCCCGCCCGGACCCGACCCGCCCGTTCGGGGTCCGGGACACGACTGATGCCGACTGATTCTCCGCCGACCGCCGACCCGACCCGCCCGTTAGGGTTCACGCGTGTCAAGTGTACACGCACCATACTTTAACGCCCCGCCCGCCCGACCCGACCCGCCCGTTAGGGTCCGCCTGCCCGACCCGACCCGCCCGATAGGGCACACGCGTGCCAACTCGATG